AAGCGGTGCAGTGGTAGCGACCTAGCGAAAATAAAACGTCTCCAGTGTTGTCATCGAACCAAGTGTAGTCATCCGAAATGATGTCTACACAAAACCGAAGAGAGACTTCCGCGCAAGAAGGACCAACAGAATCAACATAGCCTAACTGCTTTGTTCAAAGCAAACTTGGGAAAAACAAAGTATGCAACCATGGCTTAAATCCACTCTCGGCTGAGTACTAGTTTACCTTAGATGTGGACTTTATAGTGTGATATTGCTCTGTTTTGATTCCATAAAAAGAGCTGTTAAAGCAGCTGTAGTGTGACAAAATATTTTTTTCACTGTTGTTGATGGACAGTAATATTGTGTGAGAGATTATGTGTGAATAATTGCTCCAAGTGAAAAATGTTCATGTAAAATTGAAAATCAGTAGGAAGAAGTATACAACTTATCTAGTCCTACCCCTTGTTGTGTAATAATATAAATAGATCATTTTTCAATGCAAAAGAAAAGGAAGAGATCTACATCTCATCAAGTACTTATGTGTACTGTACTTATCTATTTATATATATATATATATATATATATATATATATATATATATAATTTGTCAATGGAAGCTTATCCCATTACAGTTTGTTCATACTAGGATGTGTGACTTTGTGACTTCCTAACCAAATAATTGTTCAGTGTACTATATATCCATTCTTTGATACAGCTTGTCGTCATTAAGATGGTCTGAAGCATAACACCAACTTACTCTGGGCGAGGTACACCTGGTCTGGACTGGTTTCATGCCAATCGCCTTGCAGGGGACATTCAGGCAATGAACCATTTACCATGACATTCACAGAGTTAAAGTAATATTTAGCTCAATTCCTTAATGGAGTACATAAGATGTACTCAGGTGAACCTGGAGAAGGATTCTGTTTCCTGAAATTTTAGGATGTATGAATTACCAACGGCAGTTGCCCATCAGCCGAGGTTGGAGAGGAGGTATTAAGCCATAGGAAGCAGTTCGGTCCCGTTGGCAAAGGCTCGATCACCGATGTAGTACGCCGTTTTTCCTTCCTCGCGCGCCTTCACCACCAGGGGCCAGAGTAGCTTTCTTCTCTCCCTTGTAGATGGTGACAAATCCTCAGCGAAGCGCATGTTGTTGCTTTGAAGAAAACTGGATTTTTTTGCAGCCTTCCAGACAGCGTCTCGGAAGATTCGCAATGTGAATTGGAGAATGATTCCTCGAGGCTTGGATGCATCATTTTTCAGCTGTCCCAGTCGATGTACAGTGTCAATGGCGTGAAGAAATTTGTCTTTTCTCTCTCCGGGCAGGACCGCTTGGCAGATCGAGATTACTTCCTCACGGACATTTTGGTTTTTCTTTTCAGCTACACCATAGAGTCGTAGATTCCAGCGTCGTGAGTAGTTTTCAAGTTCAGTGAGACGCCCCTCCATCATGCTCACTTTCTTTTCCATAAGTCCAACGCGGTCGTCGACCTGTTTTAGACTTGCTTTTACATCTCTTAATTCGGCGCAGGCAATATTCAATGTTTTCGTGAGGTTTTCTATTTTCGTTGTCATGTCCTTCGTCATTTTACTGATATCTGTCTTCATCGTATCAAATCTGGTGTTAAACAGCGTTGATAATTGTTGCAATATGGTCGCGCTCTCTCCTTC